TCCCTTGTTCTCTTTCCCCACATTTCAAGTACGTCTCCTCTGTTTCTATCTAAAAAAAAAAAACTGCCCAATAAAAAAAAAAAAAAAATCAAAAACATTCAAAATTATAGCAGATTTGTATTCCCATTGTTTACCTCTTACAAAATGGCTCAAGAAGCCTGTTTTCTTCAGAAAAGAAACCACCAGCTAATTGAATGCAGTCGCACATGGAGCGTGTGCCTGCATCAGACTCCCACTGCGTCTGACGAGTATTTTGACTGAAACTCTCCCACACAACACAAACACATGATGAGAATAAAAGACATAAAAAAAAGAGAGAGTACCAGCCTTGGAGGGGGGAAACACACACAAACTAACCTGTGAGATGTATCCTGGCGGGACGTGGATGGGGGGGATTGACCCATTTGGGGACATCATGGGAACCTCAGCAGGACCTACAAGGAAGGAGGAGAATTATTTACTTAACCAGGCAACTCATGCTTAAGCAAATTCTTATTTACGCTTCGTCAATCCACAGCACGCATGCGGGGACACAAACGCAGCCACACACATTGAAGGACGGGCCGGGGTTCAGGGCGACACAGATGTTTTATTTTACAGGAGAGTCTTGTAGCAAAGAATGCGGCATTTTCTTTTTTTGCAATCTGTCACATTGTCGCTCATTTTTCACTGCAATATAAAGAAACAGTACAACAATGGCTCCAAGTAAAGAAAACTTTAAAATCGGTATTGTACAGAATAACAAAGTCATAGTGTAATAAATGGTAAAAGAAAATCTTAAAAAATAACGTCAGATTTCTTTAATTATTCGGTTTACAAAACTTGGAAGAAAAAAAAGTGAAATCAACGTATACAACATGGTTTAAAGTGGCCCAAACACTGGAACAGAGGGACGACAGAATATAGCATTTTATTATTTTTATTCATTTGTTTCTGTACTTGTCTCCTATCTGATCCATGTAAACACAGTCTGCAGTTCATCTGAATTGTTGTCATGTGACTGTTGGTTGCAGCAGATTCTTTCACGGCTTCCTGGTTGTGTTCACAGTTTATTTTTGACATTTTTTTTTAAAACAAGACATGAGGATTGATGAAATATTACAACTTTAAACTTCAGCTTAGTTCATTTTCGATATAAAAACCAAAGTCACGCATTGTATGTTCAAGGATTGTTGGAAAGTTGAACCATTCCTCTGATTTTTACCGCTGCTCTGATAAATTGTGCAATTTTGGCATATTTTAAATACAGAAATGCTTTTCTAATCTTCCTGCAGATTTGGAAGTTCAGAGGGCTAAATTAAACATAGCCTATTCCAATTATGTCTGATGACATAAACTTAATTAAACATGTCAAATTAAAGACTATGTTCCCTTTAAACCTGCCTGCATGACATCAAAAAGCACAGAAACACAAATCCACGTGTAATCAAGTTTTTTTTTTCCCCCCTTTATTTCTGGCAAACAGCTAAAGATGTCAGAGTTTGTATTCAGCAGCAGCATCATGATAATTATAGGTGCAGCTCATGAGGGCACACAGTTGCTTACTGCAAAATGAAATCCGTGCTCTGAGGGGAAAGCAAGAAAATCTAAATAGAATAAGCAGATTGAAAATGATGTTGACTTTTCCACTGTCCATATCTCCTCCCTCCCTCCCCCAACTACTCTCTCTCTCTTCCTCCGTCTTTCTGTGATGGAGGTCTGCGGCTGTTAAAGTCATTGGGAACCCATTGGGACAGCTGGAAGCAGACTTGGCCTCAGAATAAATCACACAGCGCACACACAGGGGCCCTCACTACCTACAAACACACATGCAAGCATGAGGACACACTAATATTTTCTGTCCATGTTGCCATCAGTTAGAAATGCTACTCCACTATTCCAAAACTTTCTTTTAATTTTCACAATTTATCGAAAAAAATTGTTTTCTTTTTGTATCTCTGGTGGCCTAGCTGAGAATAAACGCCATTTTTAATCTGTTATTTAGGTGAACTGACTCCCAAACTCCTATTTTCATTCCTCCCTTGGTCCTTCTCTCATTTCCTGGCTCCCTCCATCCTTCCTCCCTCCTACCGTACATTCCTCCCTTTAACAGCTTCTCTCTCTCCCCATCATTTCCTACACCTTCACTTCTCTTCTGCTCTTACTCACTTGGTTTTCTTTCCATCTTTTCACCTCCTTGCCTTCCATCCCCACTTTCAGGAATTCCTCCCCTCTCTCGCTCCAGCTATTACTCACATCCTTCACTCCCTCCTTTCATTTTAAATATTACTCACTCCATCCCTCCCTCACTTTATCCTTCCTATATTCCCTAAATCATCCCCCCTCCTCCTCTTCTCTCTTTCCAACCCCCACCATCCCGCCTTCCTGACCTCTCATCAGCCAAACAAACAGGTAACGGTACAGTAAACACACACAAGCGCACACCTACGCGCACAACCTGAGCAAAGTCTGCAGTGTGGGCTTAGCGTGTGTGCAGCGACTAGGTCACAGGTACGAGGAGACAGGCCTCTTTTCAGTGCCGTCTGCTCCCCTACCACGGAGACCAGCAGTGGATATGAAAGTCCTCATTGAGTAGAAGGTCACAGCGTGGGGAGAGCACACACACACCGCACACAGAGACTCCTCTAAAACCCTCTTTCCATCGCCGGTCGTAGTGCGCGCTTTCTCCCCGTCTTGCTCACACACTGTCACACACACACACACAGTCACCCTCTCTCAGACTCACACACTCTTGGCAAACAGACGTGTGTTTGGACAGTCTCTGCTGCCTCTGTGCTCTTCACTCAGCAAACAGCAGCATTCCTCTGCTCACACACACACACACACACACACACACACACACAGAGCGAACATTCCCATCCCTGGCCCCCAGGACTGGACCCAACAGGCCCAACTAAACCCCCCCAACCCCTCCCCAAAACACAAGACACTCTTTGTCCTGCTACCCTACACACACACATAGTGCTGTAAGTCATACAATATTAGACTGACTTCCATTTAGAAAAAAGCTCTGGATAATCAAGCATTTGTACGTGTGCATTCAAGAGGTTGTAATTGTGTCCGTGTGTGTGTGTGTGTGCGCACAAATAAAGTCAGTGTGGTCCCCGAGATGCGCGTCGCGGTAACGTCACTCGCAGGTCTTGCCTCCAGCTTTTACCCTTTAAGCACCGGAGTCACAACTTCCTCTGCCTAATCCTGCTGGAATCCCAGATGATGCATCTCACCAGCTCCACTCCCCCCCTCCCCGCCCCGGCTCCTCGCTCTCATCTTCCATCTGTTGCTTCTTCCGCTTCCGATCGCCTCAAGAGGTCGGGTCAGAGATCAGTTATGAGGTCATATCCTGCGTGTGGGATGACATCACCGTACCTGAGTCACGGCAGGGGGGCACCGGCATGTGCGATCTCACATCCAAAGCTATCTGGATGAATGAAGGGCAGCTTCTCGATAAACAGCAGCTGACAACAAAGGCCAGTGTTCCTCACGATTACAGTTGGACCACATGTCCCGTGAAGCCTGATAAACTCATCGCTCCCTCCCTTCGCGTATGCTGCCTGCACGCATTACTCACAAAAAAGATAAGAGGTTGTGGACGGGTGATAATTCCCTGTTAAATAACGATCGATAACATTCTCATTATTTTCTGGTGTAATACAGATGTTGTTATTTGAAGACAATAAATCAAAATTAAAAAATAGGGCTGGGTTATGTAGCTGAAAAGTTTTATTTCTTTTAATAAAATTGATAATAATTGATCATTTCCAAATGATTTTTTAGCAAAAACCAAGAGAGAGGCTTATTTTCAAAATCGCCGCCTTGCTTTTTACTTAGCCTATTTATCAAGGTATGCAGGCAATACAACAACACAACAATGAAAAACACGCATATAAAAAAATACACATAAAAATAATTACACACATAAAAATAAATGACCAGCTGTTTATGAGCCTGAGAAGGAGAACTCTGAAAGCTTTCCTGTAGTTGTTTTCATGGCGGCGTACTTCTAATCCATTTATTCCATCATTCTGTTGAACAAATTACTTTTAATAAGAAAAATATTCTCATTAATATTTTAACGTGTATTCATCTGCTGCAATAAGTGCATCAGATTTCCTGTGAATTCACATCAGGCGGACAAAACGTTAAATGGCGGCAGAGCTTGTCATCGGGCTTTTCCATTAGTTATGATGGGGTAATAGATTAACATGTTGAGTCTAAAGTCATACAAGTTGTATCGCATTAAACAAGCTGTACAGCCAGCTACCTTTCAGTGTAATACAAGATGTGTGTGGGATCTGCTATTCTTTTCACTCTCACTTCTGTTATCTGTTAAGAATACTGCAAAAAAAAAAAAAAAAGTTATTCCCACAACTGAGCAATGCTACTGCCAGGGTCACTGAAGTAAATCTGAGGTCTGCGGTCAGATGTGGGGTTCATTTGGGGGTCAGGGACATGAGCACACACTACTTTGAGAGCCACTGTGCAGAGCGACCGAGAGGACCACAGGAATGATGACAAACTATGGTTTGTATTGCATGTAAGATACACATTGCACAACAGTGATATACTCAGGAAAGAGCAGAGGGAGCGCAGCACAGGTGCTGAATGACAAAACATTGTTGTCGTCCGCAAAAAGTCTGAACATAGAAAACATTGATAGACATTCCCATGAAATATGAAAATAATGGGAAAATTTATGAGAACATTTAAATTACTGGAAGTGTAGGGAAACTAGAAACATAATAATGACTGAAAAAAGAAAAAAAAAAACAGCCGGATGTTCACGCTAACATAAAATGCACACAATTTTGACGTCTCACCTCGCAAAGTTTAACTTTGCCGTTAAAGATTTACACAAGAAATACACACACATGTTCATGATAAACATCCTGTCCTACACTTTACCACACACAGGCACAAACACAAGTCCTCAGAAAAAAAAAATAAAAAATGGGCTTCTGTACTGGCTCATTCACAAAAAATATAAAAAATGTTGAGAAAAAAAAACACAAAAACACAAAAAAAAACTTGTGATCTTGTCCAGCTGCCCACACATACATTCATAGACACTGACAGAAGAGATGATGCAACCTCTCATCAGATGTTTCCCATGATACAGCTGTCAAAGACAGCTGCGACAGGGCCCCCAAAGCACAACACACAC